GTATAGGTTCTTCTGCTGGAGCAGGGGGTTGGACTCTAAGACCTACAAGGTCCCTTCTAACTCTGTTAGTGTATGTAATTCATTGGTTAGCTGGACGTGTTTTGGATGCCTACACCCAAGTTGAATAAATTGGGGGGGGGAGGGGGGAAGTGGTTACTGATTTTCTCGAAATCTGGTCCTTCACTTGGTGCCCTTTGAGATGACTGCTTAGAAGGCAGGATAGTAACTTCCTCCTAAGCCAGGGGTCGGCAACCTTAAACACTCAAAGAGCCACAAAGGTCCTAACAGGAAGCCCCCCTCCCATTCAATTGTGGAGCCGACTGGAAGTCCAGTTCCCCCATCATAGAGTCTCCTCCTAGTGTGGCATCCTTTTTCCTCTGCTGACCGGAAGTCCAGTTCCCTCACCATAGAGTCTCCTCCTAGCGCGGCATCTTTTTTCCTCTACCTGAACTAACTGAAAGCCCTATCAATTGTGGAGCCGACCGGAAGTCCAGTTCCCCCATCATAGAGTCTCCTCCTAGCGTGGCGTCCTTTTTCCTCTGCCGGCTGGAAGTCCGATCCGGTTCCCCCATCATAGAGTCTCCTCCTAGTGCGGCATCCTTTTTCCTCTACCTGAACTAACTAAAAGCCCTATCAATTGTGGAGCCGACCAATGACAGGGAGCCGCAGCGGAGGGATGAAAGAGCCACATGCGGCTCCAGAGCCGCAGGTTGCTGACTTCTGTCCTAAGCAAAGCTTGACTGTCCTTTGTAAATAGCTCTCTGCTCATCATCTTAAGGAAGAAGGTTGGGTTTTGACATTTACACGGAGCCCAACTGAGGAGAGTTGGTTTTGGCTCACTACGGTGCCGGGAAATTGCTACAGATAGTCTGCAATTTAAGGAGGAGTTCCATTCCAAGGTCTGTCCCTAACTCGAAGTTATACGTAAGCCAGAACAGCATAATTGTATAATACTGTGTAAGTAGGATTGTGTAATAAACTCAAACCCTTGTGCGTTTGACCTGAATCATTGTGTATTTAACTCAAATTTTGCTATAATAGGCTGAATTCTTAACTATGAGTTGTCCTTAAACCCGAAGGTTTCTTAAAGCTGGGATTTGCTGTACTGCAACTCATAAATTATAGTTTCTCAAGGCAGCTGCAAACTTTTTTTTGCTGTCCAAAACTTGTCTGCAAATGGTCATAAAGATGATGGGAAGAGGGAAATTATTAAATAGCGGGGAGTTGTCATGTTCAGCTAATTAGTTATGTTGAAATGGAGCCTGGTTTCGTTTCGTTTTTTCCAAGAGTTGGGCTGAGAGAGAATGACTGGCTCAGAGTCACCCAGCTAGCTTTCATGCCTAATGCAGGACTAGAACTCCCAGCTCCTGGTGATTGGCCCAAAGTCACCCAGCCAGCTTTCATGCTTAAGATGGGACTAGAACTCCCAGTCTCCTGGTGATTGGCCCAAAGTCACCCAGCCAGCTTTCATGCCTAATGCAGGACTAGAACTCCCAGTCTCCTGGTGATTGGCCCAAAGTCACCCAGCCAACTTTCATGCCTAATGCAGGACTAGAACTCCCAGTCTCCTGGTGATTGACCCAAAGTCACCCAGCCAGCTTTCATGCCTAATGCAGTACTAGAACTCCCAGTCTCCTGGTGATTGGCCCAAAGTCACCCCAGCCAGCTTTCATGCCTAATGCAGGACTAGAACTCCCAGTCTCCTGCTTTGCAGCCTGGTGCCTCCACCGCTAGACCAAACTGGTTCTAATGCATTATTAAGTCAGCGATGACGGTGTAAATGAATCCAGAGTTTAGTCCAGCGTGTAAACCTGGCACTTTCCCAGAACCGATAACGTCGAAAGAAGAAGACGGGAGACGGATCAAGGCTGGAGGTTGACAACTTCTCAGGAAAAAAAATAAAATAAAAATCACAAGACCTCACAATGTTCCAGGGCAGGGATCGGCATGCCAAAGTACAGACTTTTCCCCTTCCCCCTGCTTGAAAGTCTAGGTCTGGTTACATAGACTGGGGAGAGGAGGGAGGGGAGAAAAATCCCACATATTGTTGCCGACGGTCAGAGCCTACAAGGAGTGGGAGAAACGCATGAAAGGGAATGAACCGAGTCCTTTATTTGAAGATTATTTATTCCAGAGCTCGGAGAGGTGGGGAGGGGAAACGCTGGCTTTAAAAAAAAAAAAAAAAAAGGAGGAGGGGGGCTGTAGCGATTAGCCGAAGCGGGGAAGACCATGTCTGAAGGGGACAACAACCCAGCCTCTTATGACGACAACGACGGTCGATGTCAGAAGTTGGAATGTGGTTGTGGGTTGGGATTGAACGGAGGGAAAACATGGTCTCCACATTTTAACCAAGGCCAAGTAAGGGAGCCGAGATGAACACGGGAGGGCCTCATACCCTCTATACAGCTAGTCCTTGACTTACAACACTTTGTTTACTGACCGTTTGAAGTTACGACGGTACTGAAAAAACAGGACGTAAGGCTGTTTTTCACACTTAGAGATCATTGCCGCATCTCCATGATCACGTCATCCAAATTCGGATGCAATGTCCCGGGGATCACACAATCTCCTTTTGTGACCTTCAGACAAGTCCACGGGGAAAGCCGGATTCACACTTCTCAAGTGTGGATGAACTAACTTCTCCACTGGAAAGTGATTCACTTAACCACTGTGTCAAGCAAGGTCATAAAAGAGGTGTGCATAAGTGCACCAGCGTGCTTACCGTCCCTGTCCTAATATTCCTTTTTTACCAGGGGTGAAATGCTCCCAGTTCGGACCGGATCACCCGATCCGGAAGCGATGGAGGCGGGTGGTTCGGAGAACAGGTAGCAAAAATCCCTGCCTCCCCCATGCCCAGCTGAGCCGCGCGATCATCAGAGGCTTTTTTTTTCTTTTAAATGCCTCTGACGATCCCATCTGAGTTGCCTGATCGGCAGAGGATTTTTTTCTTTTAAAAGCCTCTGACGATCCAAGCTGAGTTGCCCGATCGCCAAGCTGAGTTTGACGATCCAAGCTGACGATCCAAGACGATGCCTGACGATCCAAGCTGAGTTGCCTGATCGTCAGAGGCTTTTTTTTCTTTTAAAAGCCTCTGACGATCCAAGCTGAGTTGCCTGATCGTCAGAGGCATTTAAAAGAAAAAAAGTCTCTGCCGATCAGGCAACTCAGCTGGGATCGTCAGAGCCTTTTGAAAGCACTTTTTTACAACCTCTTCACCGAAGAGGTTGTAGAAAAAATGGTTTTAAAAGTAAAAATAAATAAATAAATTGGCCACGCCCACCCAGTCACATTACCCCCCCCACCAAGCCACACCCACAGAACCGGTAGTAACAAATTTTAGATTTCACCACTACTTTTTACTTACTCTTTTCATGTATTCAGATTATGTTTATACTTTTAGCTGTTATCTTATATATGCTTGGCAAATAAACTAAACTAAACTAAAATGGGTTCAAAGCCCCTTTAACGAATGTCTGTCTCAGCCACAGAAATGCTGGGCTCCCTTGGAGGTCGTAGGTCGAGGAGTAAGTTTGGCCCCTTCAATTTAGCTTTTTCGTTTCTGCAACGGGAGAGAGCAATTTAGACCGACGGCAATTAAATTGCTGGGCAAAGTTCACCATCTTGAACCTTCAACCTTTGTCCACCTCAAGTTTTTCTCAGCCCGAGCTTAACTTGTTCAAGGTGCAGGGCCCTTCCCCCCATGCCTCTTTCCTCCCCCTCCCCAGCCCCTCCACCCCAAATCTCTTGGGTGGGGGAAGGCAAAGAGCAGCTCAGGGAAGACAAAACTGCTGACCCATTGCCATGGAGACATTAATTCAAGGCGAGTTCAAAGAAATTCACTTCCCAGTTGAAGCTAACAAGCTGAAATTGGAGCTTGGCCTAGGCAGGAGAGAGAGAGAGAAAGAGAGAGAAATGGGGGTTTCCTTGGATGAAGAGGACCCAATCTTTGTAGGTCAGGGAGGGAGGGGAAAGAGGAGGAGGAGGAGGAAGAAGAAGAAGGAGAAGGAGGAGGAGGAGAAGGAGAAGAAGGAGAAGGAGAAGAAGGAGGAGGAAGAAGAAGAAGAAGGAGAAGGAGAAGAAGGAGGAGGAGGAGGAAGAGGAGGAGGAGGAGGAGGAAGAGGAGGAGGAGGAGGAGGAGGAGGAAAAAGAAGAAGGAATATTTGAAGGGTGGATCAGTGGAGCGAATCCAGAGCAGCGTTCACATGATCTGCTTAAGAAAGTTCCTGAATGAACCTATTTTCTAGATTCATACAATACCCGGATTGTAACCTAACCAGGAGGGTGCACGTCCCACAAAGCTACAACAGGAGAACTCAGCTTGACGCTAATTAAACGCAGTATGTTGGGTGAATGTAACTGCTGATTCTTGATCTGATCTGGGTCAAGGTGATGTGTGACCTCCACCCTAGCGTTGAGGAGGGACCAGGGAGGCCACAAGAATCTAGTCTAAACAGCAGCATCTGACCAACCACTGTTGACCTAGCAGATTCGATCGAATTTGTTGGTCATCTGGAAAACGAGCCAACTTCTTTCAACTTCAATTTCTGACGTCGTCATTTTAAACTCATTGAAATCATTGAAAGAGTGCAGAGAAGAGCAACGAAGAGTATCAAGTGCCCCGATGACAATGGGTATCACGGTTACATGTTTCATCCATAGCCGTGTAGTTTTGATGGCCAGGTCGCGATAGTTCATGATTATTATTATTTCTTCTTCCTCTTCCTCTTCCTCTTCCTCTTCCTCTTCTTCTTCTTCTTCTTCTTCTTCTTCTTCTTCTTCTTCTTCTTCTCTTCTTCTTCTTCTTCTTCTTCTCCTTCTCCTTCTCCTTCTTCTTCTTCCTCTTCCTCTTCCCCTTCCCCCTCCTCCTCCTCCTCCTCCTCCTCCTCCTCTTCTTCTTCTTCCTCTTCCTCTTCCTCTTCCTCTTCCTCTTCCTCTTCCCCCTCCTCCTCCTCCTCCTCCTCCTCCTCCTCCTCCTCCTCTTATTATTATAACAATTGCAGGAACTGGGTATGGCTACTCTGGTGAAGAGAAGGACTGGAGAAACTCTCTCTCATCCATGGCTGTGGCCCGTGGACCAGCAGATGGCACTCAAGAGACGTTCCTGGACGTCTTGATTTCTGTTGTTTATCTCAGTGGCAATACTTTATAATGCGGTTGCAAACTCTCTCCTCTTACTTGACAACCGATCATTTGAAAGATCGTTACAACAACAATGAAGTGGAGTCTGTTTTATTATTAACACCACAAGATGGAGGGACCGAAGCTAGGGAGAGCACTGAGGTGAGAATGTGGAAAAAAATAACAGGTAACGCAGAATACAACAGGAGTAGCAACGTGTGAATCGGCTGTGCGTATCGGAGACTCCCGATTCGGTTTCTGAACTACTTGAAAGCAAATCGTGTTGCTGCAACTCTTTTTCACCTAGGGCACCCAGAACTATGTGGTGGAGGATGGATGGATTTGGTCTCTAGTACCTTCTAGTCTCTAGTACACAGGGACGTGGTGGCTCAGTGGCTAAGACGCTGAGCTTGTCGATCAAAAGGTCGGCAGTTCAGCGGTTCGAATCCCTAGTGCCGCGTAACGGGGTGAACTCCCGTGACTTGTCCCAGCTTCTGCCAACCTAGCAGTTCGAAAGCACATGAAAAAAAATGCAAGTAGAAAAATAGGGACCACCTTTGGTGGGAAGGTAACAGCGTTCCGTGCGCCTTTGGCGTTGAGTCATGTTGGCCACGTGACCACGGAGATGTCTTCGGACAGCGCTGGCTCTTCGGCTTTGAAACAGAGATGAACACTGCCCCCTAGAGTTGGGAACGACTAGCACATATGTGCGAGGGGAACCTTTATCTTCTACTCAGTAGGTGGCAGCTCATAATTTTTTTCTTTTTGTAGTCTCGGAAGCTAAGCAGGGTCAAATCTGGTTAGTAAGATGGATGAAAGTGTCCGGGGCTATAGGTTAGTGAAAAGAAGATGTTGGATAACCATTTGTCTGAAATGATACAGGTCCCTTCCAACTCTGTTATTCTATTCTATTCTTCAGTCTTGTAGGAGGAGGAGATGATTGGAAAAAGCTCACCCTGATGGAACATGGTGGTGATGGGATCTCCCCAGAGGTCACGTTGTCCAGCACTCCATCAATGTTGATAGACCTCCTGCTTGGACCATCCCTGTGCAATTGGCTAAACCCACTGGAGTTGTTTCATTGATTCAAGTAGAGAAATGGCTCACCCAAGAGGTCAAAAATCCATTTTTTTTTCATGTTCTGAAAAGAGGGATGAGCTGCCCTTCCTTTCTGCCAGAATATAATTTCTTGGAGGGAGTCGGTGATAAATATTTTTTTCTTTGCTCTGTCACATAGATCCCATCAGGGCAGCAACCCATAGAGGTACGGTAGGAGAGAATTTTGGGTGGAACTCACGACTATTTACCTGCAGGGCAGAGCTGGGTGGGAAGGAGGATTAAGTGGTTGGTCAAGGAAATCTGAATGTTCAATCAAAGATTAGTGTCAACGTTCCTTTCATCTCTTCCTGGATGCAGTAACCCACAGAGCTTCATGGTGGCTCTGGTTGGTGTTGGCATGAGTTCCTGAGAAGAAAGTCATCAGCATATTCATAAGCTAAGTATAAATAGGCTTCCGGTGGAGGAAACATTCACACTTACCCCATTCGTTGTTGCATAAATCAAGTAGTAACAGCTCTCCTTGTTTAGCAAGCTTCTCATCTGATGATGGGAGTTTTAAATCCAAAACATTTACATTTCTGCAAATCCTGAATGATTCCCAATGGAAGAGGCTGTCTCAAATTCTCGGGAGAAAGTGGAGGAACTCGTACCACCTTCTAGCCAGGTTAAAACATGCTAAATTATCATTTGATTCAACGTGGTTTATTGGATATACCACCAATGGTTGGGTTGATGTCATGAACCAAGCCATAGGTCATGGTGGGCTTCACACAACACGTAAATTTTTCTACCACCAGTTCTGTGGGTGTGGCTTGGTGGGCATGGTGTGGCTTGGTGGGTGTGGCAGGGGAAAGATACTGCAAAATCCCCATTCCCACCCCACTCCGGGGGAAGGATACTGCGAAATCCCCGTTCCCTCCCCACTCCTGGGGGAAGGATATTGCAAAAGCTCCATTCCCACCCCACTCTGGGGCCAGCCAGAGGTAGTATTTACCGGTTCTCCGAACTACTCAAAATTTCCACTAATAAATAAATAAATAAATAAATAAATAAATAAATAAATAAATAAATACTTGGCAAGTGGTTTAAAGCCAGGAGTGAAATCTAGCAGATTCTGACAGGTTCTGGAGAACCGGTAGCAGAAATTTTGAGCGGTTCGGAGAACCAGCAAAAACCACCTCTGTCTGGCCCCAGAGTGGGGAGGGAATGGAGATTTTGCAGCACCCTTCCCCTGCCACGCCCATCAAACCACGCCCACTAAGCGCCGCCCACAGAACTGGTAGTAAAAAAGTCTCACCACTTTTTCAAGCCCTCTGTTATTTCATTTTTTAAAAAGAAAAATCCTGCCTAGATTGTCCATGGTTGAGCATCTGTGATGATACGGAGATCCAAGTTTGGAAGAAAGCAGGGATGCCGAATGCGATTCCTGCAGCCCAACCTGGCTTTGGCAATCCCAAAGTCTTAGTTGCGTAGAGCAAACAGAATCAGAGGCTGGTCTGCAAAATCCATCAGAGGTCCAGATAACCTTCCTCTTGAGGTCCAACAGAGACTGGTTGTCCAGAGCGAAGGGCAAGTACAAAAAAAATAGGGCGGATTTCCAGCAGTTCAGAAAAACTGAACTGAGGCCTTTTTAAAACATCCCATTTTGTCCATACATCCTCAATACACGAAGAGGGAAAACTGCCAGTTTTGTAACGGAGGAAGGATTCCGAGCGAATATTTTTCCCAGCAGCTGGATTCCTACTTATTTAGTGCGACCCGGCTTCTTGTCCACAATGAGTCTCTTGTGGAAATTTCTGATTAATACATGAGAAAGAATTTAAATGACAAATGAAGGCAGATCTAGCACGCCTCCTTCTGCAATTCAAAATAGGGCCACGTTGAAAGAAACGAGAGTTTTTTTTAAGAATACAATAGAATCACAGAGTTGGAAGGGACCTTGGAGGTCTTCTAGTCCAACCCCCTGCTTAGGCAGGAAACCCTACACCACTTCAGACAAATGGTTGTCCAACATCTTCTTAAAAACTTCCAGTGTTGGAGCATTCACAACTTCTGGAGGCAAGTTCTTCCACTGATTAATTGTTCTCACTGTCAGGAAAGTTCTCTTTAGTTCTAAGTTGCTTCTCTCCTTGGTTAGTTTCCACCCATTGCTTCTTGTCCTGCCCTCAGATGCCTTGGAGAATAGCTTGACTCCCTCTTCTTTGGGGCAGCCCCTGAGATATTGGAACACTGCTATCATGTAAGCTCACGCCTACTGCTTCAGTGACTCCATCCAGCCACCTCGTTCTCTGCCGTCCCCTTCTTCTTTTGCCCTCCATCGTTCCCAGCATTAGGCTCTTCTCCAGGGAGTCCTTCCTTCTCATCAGGTGGCCAAAGTATTTGAGTTTCCTCTTCAGGATCTGGCCTTCTAAAGAGCAGTCAGGGTTGATCTCCTCTAGGACTGACTGGTTGGATCGCCTTGCAGTCCAAGGGACTCTCAGGAGTCTTCTCCAACACCAGAGTTCAAGTTCCTCAGTTCTTTGGCGCTCAGCCTTCCTTATGGTCCAACTTTCACAGCCATCCATTGCAACTGGGAAAACCATAGCCTTGACTATACACACTTTTGTTGGCAGGGTGATGTCTCTACTTTTTAGTATGCTGTGACTAAATTGTACCCCTAATAAATAAATTCCCTGGGAGGCCACGTACATTTTCTGGCCTCCCATAACTAATGACCTATCTCTTTCAGGATTGAAAACTATCCATTACATGTGCAGTAGCTAATGTTTTGTAGTTGTTGCAATGAAAACAAGATATAATCAGTTAAAGGCTCATTTATCTTTGTTTTAAGCTTTTGATTTCATGCATCTTATCTAATAAATTGCAGGGGATAAATGGATTTTATCTTATACTTATTAATCTTTCGGACTTATCATCCAAGTAACTAGCAACTGTATGAACATAGCAATTGAAGAGTGAATGTTATATAGCGTGTTTTATTCTAGTAGTTGCTGGCATATTACTGTATTTATCTGCTTCACTCTATTTTCATTTTATTTTTTTGCTGATCATCGATTGAACAAATTACTGATTGATGGATGGATCAATCGATCAATTGAACCTGATGGTGACATTTCTTTTTTTTTTTATTAAAAAGTTTTATAGAAAATACAAACATTTTCACCCCCCCCCCCTTCCCCCCCTCACCCCCTCCCTCCCCTTTCCCACCCCCCTTCCCCTTCTTCCCCCCCACCCCCCTCCCTGGACTTCCTAGAACAAGCACAGGGTATAGCGTTCACAAATCAAAAGCTAACATATGCTAACAAATTATTACATTTCATATTTTCCCTAGATCCTTAACTCCTTATAATTCAAAAAACAAACATAAACTACTTAAAATTACTTCATTCATATGCTATATGAATCTTCTTATTCGGATACTTCTTCTGTATGTAATCGATCCATCCTCTCCATTCCGATATGTATCTTTCATTTGAATGGTCTTTAAGATATGATGAAATTTTTGCCATTTCTGCCAACTTTTAATGTCCATTCCTCAATGGTGAACATTTCTAATGTGAACCTGAATAAGTAACTTTACTCTTTTGGTTAATCTGTGCCGATGAGGACACCTCGTGGATGATGTGCAGCATTGCAAAGATCTTGCAATTAAGGAAGGTGCCTATCATTTATGTGCTGGATCTATAGTATAGGAAGTTCTTGACTTAAAACCATAACTGAGGTTGGAATTTCTGCCATAAGATCATGAGTTGAGTCAAACCCAACTTTACGACAATTTTTATGGCAATTATTACACAAATCACACGATTGTTAAGCGAATCCAGTTTTCCCAATGTGGTTGTTGGGTTTTTTTTTTTTTTGCTGTAAATCAGCAAAAACAAGTTGCATATCACAATCATGTGACTGCAGAACACGGCAAAGCATCTGAATTGATGCTCCAGTTTGACTTGGGCTACAGTTTAATGAATCGGGCCGGTTTTGATTTGCCAACGTGGTTCACGGAACTGCTCTTCAAAGGCACAGAAGGCTTTTGACCTGCCCCAATCAAGCTGACTCAAACAA